GCATTAAAGTGCGCGAGACGTGAATTTATATTGTATTTCTTTACAGAGGTATATTATGTCACACTTCACACTTCTCTAGTAAGTTTCGTCTGTGTGTGAAGACAGTAGCGCAAATCCGTGAATGAATGTTTCGAAGTGAAATAAACTTCAACGGAATAAAGTTGAATGGATTTGAATTGAATTAAAGTTGAATAAACTTCAACTTTACTGTTCAGTGCACTGATGTCAAACTCATTTTGGATAATAAAGTTTATTGTTAAATTGTTAAATGCCCTGCCTCCATTAAGTATCTCTGTCACATCATTAAAAGTGTTTGATCACCACATTTGTGTGATCATTGCAAAAAATGTGTTTATGTATTTATATTCTGTTTATGTATATACTGTATTCTATATATAGTACCAGCCAAAAGTTTGGACACACAAATGGGAAAGTGTCCAAACTTTTGACTGGTACTGTACTATAATATAAACAAAGAATATCAGCCGATATATCGATATCAGCCTTTTTTTTACTCCCTAAAATCGGTATCGGCCCCCAAAAAACCCATATCGGTCGGGTTCTACAAAAAGCTATCCATTTTGCCACTGCCTAAAGAAACCCAAATTGAAATGCCTGTTTAGACTGAAATGCATTTCCAAAGCTCATTTTAATATGATATCAATATATAATCAGGTTGGATCAATGTGTTTTTTTAATATAAATATTATTATTATTATCCAACTCTTTCTAAAAAGAGTGTACTTGGTTCTCATAAAGTACATAACATTTTGCTTTACTTAATCAAAAAAGAAGAATTATTTTATTCTACAAAAAAATTAAGAACAACATTGGATGGGTTTTTTTACTTTATTATTTTAATTTTATTTTATTTTATTTTATTTTAACTGATATGACCAAACAAGCATCTCTTTTGTATCTTAGGAGTCCAATATTTCAGGAAATTAAAAAGCTTTTGTGTGTGTGTGTCAGTCTCAACTGGAAAATCTGGAAATATGATGTGGCCCAACACTGCATGATTTACAAAGTTCAAATTAAAATGTAATTTATTCAGTTTTATTAAAATTTTATTAAAATTGCTCGGTTATGCTCCAATTTATGCCCAAATGCTCAAACTCACAAAAAAAAGGGGCCATATATCTGGATATATCTCATGATTTGGTTTCATGGAGCTGGGGAAAATAAAACTAAAATAAGAAATAATATAGTAAATCATTTACATTTTGCATCATTTTGTTAAATGGCTTGTTGACTGCACAGTCAAGAGACAATTGGAAATAAAATGGCTTCCTTATTCGTCCTGACTCCTGTGCCATGTTAATAATTTAGCATTTTGTTGGTAATATTAATAAATAGTAATAAATTTTCTTTGTACACCAAGCAGTGTTGGTACTAGATGTTGAATGTAAAACCTCAGAGTCCTGAAGCAAAACCAACAGAGTTCTACAGCTCTAATTATAGCTCAATCTCATTGAAATAAGGTATAATTGGAAGAAACTGGAAAGGAGCATAATGAGGGAGCGCTGACAGGAAATTGCAGATGGAGGAACGAGTGTCACTTCCATTTCCACCTGTGACGTTTATGCTTTAGGGAGAGTTGGAGATGAATGATTTTTAATTCAGCTCCAAACAGCAGATCATCTCCCTGGAATAGTCCTGTTTTTCATTCCCTATGTCTCTCTCTTTCTCTTGTTCTCCTCTCAGCATCCCTGCGTTCAGAGCTGAACCATCTTCACGCATCAGCCATTGAACATATGCGTCAAATCCATCAACAGGAAACAGCGGCTGCCAAACAGGAACTGGAGAACGCTCTGGAGCAGAGCAGAGTAAAGGTAAACTCTATCCACAGCAGGGTTGTTATATTTCACAAGAAGTGTATTATTGTGGTGTCATCGATTTTAGATTTGCTCATACATGTCACATACAAAAAGCAGTAATTGGTTGTTTTGCATTTCAATCAAAAGCCGTCCTCCTCTCTAATTTGGCGGTTTTTTTTTGTTTTTTGTTTAGTTTTTTTACAGAATACACACTACCATTCAAAAATTTGGGGTTTGGTAATATTTCTTAAAATATATTTTAAAGAAATCTCTTATGTTCGCAAAGGCTGCATTTATACAGTAAAAATACTGTAATATTGTGAATTTTTATTACAATTTAAAATTGCTATTTTCTATTTTAATATATTTTAAAATGTAATTTATTTCTGTGATGTAAAGCTGAATTTTCAGCATCTTTACTTCAGTCTTCAGTGTCACATGATCCTTCAGAAATCATTCAAATGTGCTGATTTGCTACTCAAGGGTCATTTAAAAAAAAATTATTATCAATGTTGAAAAACGTTGTGCTGCTTAATACTTTTGTGGAAACTGTGAAACATTTTAGTTTCAGGATTCTTTAATGAACAGAAAGTTCAAAAGAACAGCATTTATTTGAATTATGAATGTTTTGTAATATTATAAATGCCTTTGCTATCACTTTTTAATCAGCTTTTTTAAATCAAATTTAATGCATTCTTTTTTAATAAAAGTATTATTATATATATTTTTTTTACTTTTGAATGGTAGTGTACATGCATTCAGTACACAGATTAAAAATGTGTATTCATGTGTATTCAGTCTTTAGTAATCATTCACATTATAGTACACATTATATTTGATGTCTTTTTAAATTATTATTTAAAGAAATTATCTGCGAGTCAGTATTTTTGCTGTAGCTTCAGTGTATTCCCATCATTCCCCCACTGTCTCCTATACAGTCCCATTGTCTCTTAATGGAGACAGAGACTAACAATAAGTTTAGTTAGTGAATGCTTTTCCAAGAAAGGACAAATCAATAACGTTCTGCCAAGAGTTGGCTGCTATGAAAGAAAAGGACCTTAATAAATCCTCTTGTCATCTGGCTCATGTATAAGACAACAGTTAAACAAAAGAAACGCTGACAGGATTGTTGGTCAAGCAACTGAAAGGTTGTACAATTTGAGTCTTAACCGCAGACCTCAGGGGAAAATATGTCTGTGTAACACACATACACGCAGAATCAAACTGCAAAGTACTTTTGCATCTCAGTAAGGGCCTGTGATTGAAGTAAAATTGCACTTTCTGTGTAATTGCACAATTCATTAGGTTAGCATGTGTCTTATGTAATACTATATTTTATGGACTTTTTGTGGCTTTTAATAAATAGGATACAGGAATACAGGGTTTATATTAATATTGGAAAACTTGGATTTTTAAAAAGTAGTTTTTGGCAAACCGGCACCCCCAGGTGACAATGATCTTCTTTACTTTAGTAGCGCCATATCAATACTAATTAATTCTTAAGCTCATGGGGCTCAAATCTGTCTTGTGAGAACTTGCCTAATGTCCCACAGGTCAAAGGGCAAATTCAGTGTGATCTTTGCTAAAGAGAGGCTGCGAACTCAGAGAAAACAGCATCAGTGTTGTTCAGCTCTCTCAGGAGTTGAAGATTTCTTCCTCTCAGGAGGAAGAAATCTATTTTTGCTAAGCATTTACTAAGCGTTTCCGGCCTCGGTGCGTCATACATCACCCAGGAATAACAAATGAGCATACTCGGGAAAGCTCAGATGCATGGTTTTTGGGTCAAACTGTGAATATTTGTGTCGTGTTTCACAATCAAGCTGCGCGTCTGTCTCGAGGACACGGTTGCCTTTGTTGTGTTCAGTTTTCTGTAATGCCCTCACGTACTCTCAGTAACATCCCTTACATCATAAGGCTGGAAAAAAAGTGTTTAACCTTCCCCCAAGACTCCTGCCGATCCCACTGGTTATGACAGCACAGGCAGATGTGTCATGAAAGAGCCGTGAGAAACATGGCTTTGTGTTTTCTAGTTTAAGTCACAGTAGCAAAAGGTGTAAAAATTGCTTTGTCAGTTAATTTAATGAAAAAAATTGTTTTAATTGTGTAGAATTTAGTTAAATTATTTTATTTTATATTTTTTATTATATTTTATTTTATTATTTTATTTTATTGTTTTATATTATATTTTATTTTATTTATGCACCCTATTTATGCACCAATTAATTTAAGGCTGCAGTGAGATAGATAGATAGATAGATAGATAGATAGATTTTTTAATATTTTAATTTACCTTTTTATTTCACTTTCAGTTTTAGTAATTTTAGTGCATTAAATTTAATTTTTTTAAATGTAGTACTTTTTGTTAAATGATTTAACTGGACTATTTAATTTAATTTTATTTAATTTTATTTAATTTTATTTAATTTTATTTAATTTTATTTAATTTTATTTAATTTTATTTAATTTTATTTAATTTTATTTAATTTTATTTAATTTTATTTAATTTTATTTAATTTTATTTAATTTTATTTAATTTTATTTAATTTTATTTAATTTTATTTAATTTTATTTAATTTTATTTAATTTTATTTAATTTTATTTAATTTAATTTTATTTTATTTTTGCACCAGTGAATTTAAGGCTGCAGTGAAATACCTACTTAAGGTATGGATGGATGGATAGATATGTCATTTTTATTGTTTTTTTTATATATATTTCTATTTAGCTTGTAATTTTTCACTTTTAGTTTTAGTAATTTTAGTACAAAAAACTTATTTGTATCAGTTAGATGCCAAGGCAACATAATTGTCATTTAGATATTATCTAACTTTTTATTTAGAGTTTTCATCTAATATTTATATTTTATTTAAATTACTGAAAATAATTTTTAATAGTTAAATACAACAATAGTCACACTGCCCTAAACCCTTTACCCTCTACTTTACAGATGCGTATTTCTATATTTAATTTAGGTTTGGGGTTTTTCTTTTTTTTCATTTCTTCAATAAGAAATAGCGATTCCATTCCGCATACTGACAGGTGTTAAAGCATGTTTGAAGTCAGGAACAGAGACTCGCTGGTATTCTGTGAGGGTTTCCAAGAATCACTTTCCTCATACCGCATAACAGAAATCTCTCTTTCTCTTCTCCCACACTCTCTCTCCATATTTGTCTTATTGTTAATTTTTTCTCAGTGAGAGTACCGTTTCTATTCCTGGTTTAATGAGCTATGTAAGATTTGCTGGCCAAAGCCGCAATGCAAAGAATTGAGTTTGACTTCTATAGTGATCGGCACGGCTACTTGCACCACAGCGTCTCCTGGTAGACTCTCATATGAATCATAAATGGCTTGAAATCAGCTTTGTCCCCTGGCTGTTAATATTTGAATGTAATAAATTGAGTCTTGCAGGCACATTCCCTTCTTTATTTTAGCAGGTTAGCACCAAGGTCATATTGTCTTTATGACAGCTTTATGAATTGTTTTTTTCATATGCGTTAAAGGTAGAAAACCCGATCATTTCATCCACGTGCTCAATAAGTGATCCAACGGCTCCCAGGGGTCTGGTTCCTCAAACGAGTGCCTGCTTTCACAATACGCACAGTATTTATTAAAGCCTGTGCTGCTGTGCTGTGCTTCTACACCATGAATCTCTCAGCCGATGGATAACCATTAGCACTATCTTACACGGGTCGCCACTTTTTCTGACACCGCTGATTTGCTGTCAGTAATAAACGTGCTTCACCCCGGCTGCTGAGATGACTGTATGAAGACTGAGAGAAAGAGGAACAGAGAAATCAAACACTCCCCAGAAAGGCTCCTGGGTACATAACTCTAACTATTCAGTGCTTTTCTCTGCCACAATAATGGAATGTGATTTGAATTTTCTCACTTTGTGGATGTTTTCAACAAATGTTAATGTATTTGATTCTTTGTAGTTCGTGTAATTAATCAGAATTCCATGTAATTCATTTGATTACAACTTTAAAACTTTTAAAAGTGCTCTTGAGCAAGGCAATTAACAGCTTTTGCTCTGCGAGAACTGACTAAAAAAGCACTAAAAAATATTTGGGTAAAAGCCTGTATCCATTTAAGAGTAATAAATAAATAAAGTAAAAACAAAACGTGTAAATTTGAATTTATATGGCATGTTTTAATATCTCACAGTTTGACTGTATATCTCCAAATATGACTTGTTTCACAACATTTTTTAAGTCTTTATCGTTAATATCTCTCTATTTTCAGCTTTTTGACATGACCTTTTATCTAGTGATAATATTTTACAATATGACCTCTCACAATGTAACAAAAGATTTCACAGTTATGTTATTTCTCATATTGTGACCTTTTATCTCATTAAGTGATGATAATATTTTACAGTATGGCCTTTTTCTCACACAATGTGACTTAATATTACACAATTTAGAATTTGTATCTCTCCAAGTCACTTTAATATCTCACTGTTTGGTCTCTTCTCTTCATTAAGTGATTTCATATCTCACAACATGACCACATTTCTCACAATATTGCTTATCTCAATTATCAAACGTTACTTCTCATAATTACGTCTTTTTTTTATCTCCCAATGTGGCTTAATATCTCATTATTTTGTGTCTTTTTCTGATAATAGTGACTTTTTATATTGTGAAGTGATAATATTTTACAGCTTGAGCATATTTGTCATAATATGACTTAATGTTTCACATTTATAACTATACTTCTTAAAATTGTATTTTTTCTCCTAAATTGACTTAATATCATATAATATTTTACAATATGACATTATTTATTGAGACTTTGGTAACACTTTATTTTAAGGACCAATTCTCAATATTAAGTAGCTTGCATAATATTGCATGTTGGCTGTTTATTAGTACTTATAAAGCACATATTAATGCCCCTGCATATTTTAGATCTCTTAATTGTACCCCGTACCTAAACTTAACAACTACCTTGCTATTCATAAGCAGCAAACTAGGAGTTTATTGGGGGAAAAGTCGTAGTTAATAGTTAGTTAG